GAGTCTGCTTTGGTAGTTTGTATCTTTCTTTGAATTTGTTCATTCATCTAAGCTTTCTAATTGGTTGGCCTAAAGTTATTTATAATATTCTCTTAAAATTGTTTCCATTTGTATATGTTCAGTAATGATGCTTTAATTCTTTGTTTTAGTCATTTTTGTTTTCTGTCTTATTTTTTTGGTCAGTCTAGCTAAGGGTTTGCCATTTTGTTAACCTTTTCAAAGAACCAGCTTTTGGTTTCATTGATTTTTCTCTATTTTTCTGTTTTCTATTGTACTGGTTTATTCCCTAATCTTTATTATGTTCTTCTTTCTGCTTGCATTGTGTTTACTTTGCTTTTTCTAGTTTCCTATGTTGGAAGCTCAGGTTATAGATTTGAAGCCATTATTTTTTTTTTTTGATATAGGTGTTTAAAGCTACAAATTTCTCTCTGAGCACTGTTTTAGCTACATCCATAAATTTGGGTATGTTTTGTTTTCATTTTCATTTAGTACAAAATAGTTTTAAATTTCCTTTATGAATTTTTTGACCTATGGGTTATTTTGAAACGTGTTGTCTAATTTTCAGATATTTGTGTTTTCCTAGATTTCTTTCAGTAGTGGATCTCTAATGTGATTTGTTTGTGGTCAGAGAAATACATTGTATGATTTCAGACTTTTTTAGAATTTTTAGACATACTTGGAGCCCTCACTCTAATATCAGCATAGTAGATTCCCTCACTTTCTTTAAGTCTTCTCTTAAATGTCACATTCTCAATGAGACTTACCCACTATTAAAATTGCAACCACCAATACTACCACCTCTTAGCACTTCCAATCATCCTGACACTGCTTTCTTTAGTTTTTCTTTTTCAAACCACTCATAACCTTCTAACATAGCCTTCTAATATAATTCACTTAGCTCTATGAAGATAGAAATCTTTGTTTTGTTTATTGATGTATCTCAAGAACCTAGAATAATTTCTGGATCATGATAGTCACTGAATAAATATTTTTGAGTTTATACTTTAGGATATTTCATCCACTTGGTCATATGTAGCTGAAATTTGTTCACTTTCATTGGAATGTAGTATTTCATTGTATAAACTTATGACAACTTTAAAATTGATTCTTCTTAGATGGACACTTGTATTTTTGCTAGTTTCAGGCTATTATATATACCAGTGATCTAACCATTGTTATTATTGTATCCTGGTGCACATATACCCCAAATTTTCTAGGGTATACATGTGGGAGTGGAATTGATGAGTCATATTATAAGCATATATTGAACATTAAATAAATAATGTCATAGTGGTTTGCACTATGGTTGCACATTCCTACCAGCAATGTACGAGGGTTTCATTTGCTTTACAATCTCACTGATATGTGATATTGACATTCTTTTTAATTTTTTGCCAATATGTCAGGGGTTTTTTTAGTATTTTCTTCTTAATTAGCATTTCCCTGAATTCTAATATGATTGAGAATTTTCTATATATTTATTAGCCATGTGTATTTTATCTTTTTTGAGGCACCTTTTTAATCTTTTGCTCATTTTCCTAATGGTTATGTTCTTTATCAGTTATTTGTGCAGCAAATATCTTTTCCCATTCTGAGACTTTTCTATGTCTTTATGATATTTTTGATGCACAGAAGTTTAAAATTTTTTTTTAATCCTCACTTGAGGATATTTTTTCCATTGTTTTTCAGAGACAGTGGAAGGGAGGGAGGGAGAGATAGATAGAGGGAGAGGGAGAGAGAGAGAATGAGAGAAAGAGGGGGGAGGGAGGGAAAGGGAGAGAGGGAGGGAAACATCGATGTGAGAGAGACACATTGATTGGTTGCCTCCTGCATGCACCCTGACCGGGGCAGGGGATCGAGCCTGCAACCGAGGTATGTGCCCTTGATCGGAATCGAAGCTGAGACTCTTCAGTCTGTGCGCCAGTGCTCTAACCATTGAGCAAACCAGCTAGGGCAGACGTTTTTTATTTTAATGTAGTTGAATTTGTCAATATTTTTCTTTAATGGTTAGTTAGGGAACTTAAGAAACCCTTCCATATGTATTCTTACACCTTGCTGGTGGAATTGCAAAATAGTATAACTTCTACAAAGTGGAATTTAGCATTATAGAGAAAAATTACATACACATTTGACCCTTTGTCTCAGCAAAGCCACCTCTTGGAATCTATTTCAACGATGTACTGGAAAAATAAAAAATTCTATATGTACAAGATTGTTTGTCAGGGCCTTACTTATAACAGCAAAAAAGACTAGATACAATACCAGTGTGCATCAGCAGAGAATAATTGAATAAACTATGATACATCCATACAGTGGAGTATTATAGAACTATCAGAAGGAAGGGAAAGAACTCTACATATTAATCTGGAGTTAGCTGAAGTATCTATTGTTAAGTACAAAAAAGTAAGTGGGACTCTGGCTAGTGTGGCTCAGTTGATTGGAGCATCCTCCCATACACCAAAAGAGGAGGGTTCAATTCCCAGTGAGGGCACATACCCAGATTGGGGGCTCAATCCCCAGTCAGGACAGGTGCGGGAGGCAACCGATTGATATTTCTTTCTCACATCGATGTTTCTCTTTCTCTCCCACTTCCTCTCTCTAAAATCAATTAAAAAAATTTTTTAAAGTTGTAAATAGTGTATAGTAAGTTACTATTTATGTAGGAGAGGGGCGTGACGAATTATAGATATATATGTATATATGTATATGTGTGTGTGTGTGTGTATACAAGGTGTCCCAAAAATGTATACACACTTTAACAGCTGATAGCTCAATTTTGAAAATGAAATGCATTTTAATAAACACTGCCTTTATAATTATTCAAAGTGTGTGTATACATTTTGGGGGCACCCTATATATACACATATATGTGTGTTTGTGTGTGCCTATTTGCTTATAGTTTTAAAAAAGAATCAATGGAACCATAAACCAAAACCTAATAAAAAATATTATTTATGGGGAAGGAAAGAAATGGGATAGAGATGAAAGTGATACTTCTATGAAGGTACTGTATAACACAGTTTTTACTTTAGACCCATGTAAATATTTTGCATAATTTAAAAATAAAAAGAGGGAAACATCCATCCCTAAAATTTATAAACAACCTGAAGCAAATGAACCTAACTATAAAAAAAGTTGGTAGCATAACAATACAGAGGAAACAATTATTTAAAATGACTTTAAAACAATATTTGTTTATTCCCAATGGGATATATTTTAAGGACAAAGGTAACCACAAAGAAATGTAAAACTGTATTCAGTAGTTTCATTGTTAATAGTCGTATTAGTATTATTATTTTACATTTCAAAATTTTATAAATATATTGTAAAAAAAAGCTAATAAATAATTTTGCTAATATTAAAAGCCAATATTTTAAGCATATATGAAAAGAGATATACAAGTCTAAAGTCAAGGAGTTTGAGTAAAAACCTTATAATCTTAAATTTGAAGTGGAAATACCAGTATGATTTATTTTTCTCTTTAAAAAATTTTCCTTGTTTTGTCCACTGAAAATGCCTAGAAGCAATAACAACTCAATAGCAATGAACACACCACCTAGCAACACATTATGCTTTCTTAATACTATTTCCCATTAAAAGGAGCCAAGAGTCCTTGAAGAAATAGTCCAGGTTTGAGTCAGGAAATGTGTAAGATGAGCTTGGGACATCTTGCTGTGCCAGAAAACTGAAAAGCACCACAGAGTCAGTTTGAAGGGACTCTTACTGGTCCTAAGTGAGATAATCTTACTGGTCCTAAGTGAGATAATTTGACCACTAAAAAGAATGATAACTATAATTGAAACACATCAAATATATAAAAATACATGATCTCACAATTATACTAAAAATAATCGTTGGTCACCACTGGACATTTCTAAGGTACCAACTCATTACTCTCATAGTGGTAAATGATGGGAAAAATCAAGTATTTATCCTGCTTTTCCTGTATGAACTGTATAGAAGAAACTACTTAGTTGATGACAGTAAGTTTATTATAGGATTCTAAATAATACACACAAAGAAATAGTAGAATTAGAGTAGTTGCATTTCACAACTCTTAATAAATTAATAGATCTAGACAATAGTCATCACTAGATGTAAAATCCATTAGGTGAAAGGTGAATGAGAAAACTTCATAATGGAGGGATCCAACTAATACCACCTGAACTCACCGATCAGTTTCAGCATCACTAAAAATGTAACTTGTATAATGATGTAAATGGTCTTTGTCTTTTTACACAATGTGGTATCCACTAGCCACAGGTGGCTGTTGAGCATTTGGAATGTGACTAGTTTAACTGAGGAACTGACATTTAAAAGATAAATTTAAATAGATTTGTGTGGCAAGTGGATACCGTATTAGAATAGCTCTAGATTTAACTGCCAATTTGTATGAAATGGAGAGAATTGAGGAACAAATTAAACAATACCATGAAAAACAATCAGATTCATTTGTTCTGTGAACAGATGTGGTTCCTCTAATAAATTAATGGGATGGAGGAGAAAACCGGGTTGGAGGGGTGGGAAAGAAGGGTTACTGTTTTAAAATTAAAGGGACTTAAAAGATATAACAGCCAAAGGCTGGTTTAAACAACCAAGTGTAAAAACATATCTTTGTGATAATCAGGGCCATTTCAATATGAACTTGGTATTAGATGATATTAAGGAATTATTAATTTTGTGAAGTGTGATAATGCCATACTGGTTACATTTTTCAAATGTCCTTATCATTTGCGTGCATGTACTTGCATGACCCTGAGAGTGAGCACCTCCTTAAATTTTGAACCCCAAGTGCCTCACTTGCCTTCACCATAGTTCCAGCCTTGCTTGAGATACACTGTAATAAAGTAGCTATATATTGCTGTCACTTGTTGCAGGTTTTAAACACCTGCCCCAGCAGAGTTTCTATATCTGAGATCCAAGATTTAATTTTAATTAATTTGTCAAAGGTTGTATTGGTAGGCTTTGTAGAACTTCCCTATCTCTTTGTCTTGATCCAGATGAACCCCAAAAGAAGAACAAAGGTGATCCCATGAACAACCTGGAAAATTTTTACCAAGAGATGATAATGAAAAAACGTCTTGAAGAGTTCCAACTTATGAGAGGTGAACCCTTTGCTTCCCACTCACTGGTCTCAGCTACATCAGTGGGAGATAGTGACACAGCTGAGAACCCGCCATTACTCCAGGACAAGGGAGAACAGGCAGCACAGGGTAAAGGTCCCAGTCTCCATGTGGCAAAAGTTTTTGATAATTCACCTGAGCATTGTTGGACTGGGCCTAAGAAGCTGACGCAGCCAATAGAATTTGTCCCAGAAGATGAGATCCAGAGAAATCGTTTGTCAGAGGAAGAGATCCGAAAAATTCCTATGTTTTCTTCATATAATCCAGGGGAGCCAAACAAGGTATAGGCTAAACCAAGAAAAAAAACATGGGTTGTTTTCGTTTTAATTTACCTCTACCTAAAGTAATACTTTTAAATTCACTTTGATTATACCAAAGAATTATAACATAGGCATAGTGATTGTGTTTTTCATTGACCTTGACTATTCTTTCTCTGAATACTATATAAGTAGCATATTTCCTATGATGTTTTTTGTGGTTTTCTAAGGTCCTAAGCTACCTTTAGAATTTTAAAGAAGTCTTGAAGAGATTCTAGCCCATACCTACTAGAAGACCTGAATTGAAGGAAAAGTAACCTCCAATTTCTTAGGCTAGTAATAAATAGGACCTTCATATCTGGTAGCCGTGGTGCCTCTGGAATTAGTCAATAAATTATTGACCTCCTGGTTGTGAGTAGGGTTTACTGCTATAACATGCATTTTCTCTTCAGAATGCTCTACCTGGCTTTCATATGACATATGACTTAAGTTGCTGGTAGTTAAGAGCAAAGTGAAAGTACAGGCCCTCTAAGTCTTGAGAAATTGGCAGATATCTAAGTAAACTTGTAAATAATCTTTGGTTTATATTTTTACTACATAGCTGTATATTCATAAACAACATATAGTTTTACATATTTTAAAACTATATAGATGAAATCATACTCTACATACCCTTCTATAACTTGCTTTTTAAAATCAATATACATAATGTTTCTGAAATTTATTTCTAATGATATAAAGAACTATGTGTTACATTGTAGAAATATAGTGTAATTCATTTGTCCATTCTCCTGAAGATATTTTCCTTTCAATTTTTTTTATTACAGAGAATTCGGCAACAAACATTATTGTACAATTAGTAGGTCACAATCAGCAGTTTTTTAATGAAATGAAACAATAGAATAGAAAATATCAATGGACATTTTATAGAGTAAGAATAATTACTGTTTCTTGAAGGTTTTGTTTTGCCTGTGTATGCACGTGCACATGAGAGAAGTGGGGGGTAGATATGTGTGGGCCAGAATGCATTTCTTCCTATAGATCTTAGTCAAAAAAGTTGGAAAAATATCGCTTTTTTGCAGTTATTATCAAATGTTAGTATGCACCAGAATCACCTGGAAGGCTTGTTAAAGCACAGATTGCTATGCTCTACCCTCAGAATTTTTTATTCAATAGATCTGGAGTAGGGCCTAAGAATTTGCATTTCCAACAAGTTCCAAAGAGATGCTGTTGTTGCTGGTCTGAGAGACATTTTAAGAATCACTGTTGTAGATTATATACCTAGGAGTGGAATTACTGTGCTATATAGGATATGGATATCTTCAACTCCATGAGCAGGGTTTCAGAGATCTCTTTCACATCCTTGCCAACACTTTATAGTATTAGACTTTTTATATATTTGAAAGATCTCATTGTTTTGAGTTACATGTTTCAGATTTCCAGTGAAATTATGCATGTATTCATGCATTTATTAGCCTTTTGGGAACCTTCTGTGAGTTGCTTGTTCCTTTTTGCCCATTATTAGGTTGTTGAGTTTTTCATATTATTTGTAGAGATTATTTTAAAATTCTGAATACAAACTCTTTTTGCCTATTTAGCAAATATATTCTTCCGGTGTGTGGCTTATCATTTTAGCATTGCTTCTGATGTCTCATGTTAAGCAGAAGCCTTTTGTTTTAATATAATCGTATCATCGGTATTTTATTTGATGGTTTGTGTTTTTTGAATCGCTTTAAGGAAATTCCTCCCTACAAATCAATACGAAAAACACAAACAATCCAATAAAAATGGTAAGAAGATATGAATAGGCAATTCACAGAAGAGAAAACAGGAAAGGCCAATTAACTTATAAATCTCATTAGTAATCAAAGACATACAAAATAAAACTATCATGTGATACCATTTAACACCCAGGATGTTGGCATAAAGGCATAACAAGGCCAAGTGGTGAACACATGGAACACTAAGAACTCTAATATACTTCTGGCTGAGTATAAACGAGTACAACTACTTTTAAGAACATTGGGGCAATATCTAGTAAAATGGAAGATGCTCATACAGGATAAGTCAGCAATCCCACTCCTAGGTATCTATCCTAGAGGAATTCTTACATATGCGCATTAGGAGATCTTATAAGGATGCTCATTAGAACATTATTTGTAAACAACATACATGTTCATCAATAGGAGAATGGGTGAAGCATGGTATATTCATAAAATAGAATACTATACAGTAGAGAAAATTAATAAAATATAACTAAGGGTATCAGTGTGGATGCAGCTCACAAACATAATGTTGAATGAAAAAAGCTAGTTGCAGAGTTCTGGTTTCAGCTCCAACATATAAAGTGCTTGAAAGTTGTCACTCCTGTCTTACAACAAGAAAAACAGCTGAACAAACTAAAAATCAATGACTTTTTCTTGGACCCATCAGAGAATTGAATTCACGGAGCAAACTGCAATCTGGAAATCTGGAGAGACAGGCAATTACAGAGAATCACAGCCCAGATCTACTTATCAGGAGCGGAAAGGCATGAGAGCCATAAACTGGTAGGAATACTTAAGTGGTAACTGACAAATTGCTTGAGGCAGAGTGTAGATTAGTGTTTGAACATAACAGGTTCTCAATTTGAAGAGCCAAGAAAAAAAAATCTGTTCCTGGATAGTAATAAATCAGGTAGTATTCATAGAACTACCATATATGGTAGCATGGTGCCTCTGAAATTAGTCAATAAATACTTCCTGGAACCCCACTAGGTTCTCAAGTTGAAGAGCCAAGAAGAAAAATCTGTTCCTGGCATGGGGAGCAGAAAAGTAATCAATCATTTTGAAGTACACCCAGAGCTTCTACCTAACAAAGGACTATCCAACAAGGAAAACAACTTTACCAAAGCATTCTCCAGTGTGGGACAAGGAAAATCATCTGACTTCAGGCCTCTCTAGCCTTCCTATCTCATCTGAGAGAGAGAAAAAAAAAAGCTGTGAAACACTTCTGAAGGTTACAGACTGGGGACACAGGCACACTGAAAGGCTGAAGCTTAATTATAGGATTACAGAGTGTGTCCCCTTATCCTACACCTTACCACCAAATCAACAGGATTTCAGGATAATTGTGGATTACAGCTGAAAGACCTGCAAGGCTCAGACTCTATTTAAGAAGTTTTTAGGGAAACCCAAAGCAAACATGGGAGACAAAAACAAGGATATTAGAAGAAATTGAAACCTGTGACACCTACAGCCAGAGCAAATATTAAACACAGCCCAACTCCTAGCCAGATTAACATAAAATTTCATACTAACAGCCTGTTTTTACCTCAGTTCCTATTACATTATACATCATGTCTGGCTTTTAAGATAGAAGAAATTATTAGGCACAGTAAAAGAAAAAACAGTCTCAAGAGACAAAACAAGCATCAGAACCAAAGTCAGATATGACTCAAGTTTTGGAATGATCACATATATGAATTTTAAAATAACTACGATTAAATGCTAAAGAATCTATTAGAAACAGTACACAATATGCAAAAACAGATAGGTAATGTGAACAGAGAAATAGAAACTTGAAGAAAGAAAAGGAGATGGTAGAAATAAAAAACACTATAATAGAAATGATGCCTTTGATGGACTCATCAGTAGGCTGGATACGGAAAGAATCAGTAAGCATGAAGACATGTCAATACAAACAACCCAACCTGAAATGCAAAGAAAAAAAAGACTAAAAGAATGGAACAGAATATCCAAGAACTATGGGACAATTTTAAAAGGTATAACATACACATTATTGGAATAGCAGAAAGATAAGAGGCAAAGAGCAGAAGAAATGTTTGAAGTAATGATTGCTGAGAATTTTCCAAAATTAATGACAGATACCAGGCCACTGATACAGGATTTCTGCAGAGAACAACAAGCAGGATAACTACCCCCCCTCTTCCCCAATACACCTAACCATATCATATTCAAACACAGAGAACAAAAAAAACAGAGAAAATCTTGAAAAGCAGTCAGAAGAAAACCACTCTGTCTATAGAGAAACAAAGATAAGAATTGCATTGGATTTCTCATCAGAAACTATGCAAGCAAGAAGACAGTAATGTGAAATATTTAAAGTATTGAGAAAAAAGCACCACCCATCTAGCATTCTGTATCCATCAAAAGTATCCTTCAGAAGTGAAGGAAAAAATCAGACAAACAAATACTGAGGGAATTTTTTTACCAGTAAACCTACCTTGTAAGAAATGTGGATTTTTTTAGTTCTTCAGAGAGAAGGAAAATGATATAGTTTAGGAAATCAGATTTCTGTAAAGAAAGGAAGAACATAGAGAAGGAATATCTGAATGTAAAATTTTTATATTTTTATTTTAAGTGATCTAAAAGATAACTATTCGAAGTAATAATAGCAACGTGTTAGGTAATTATAGCATATGGATAAGTGAAATGAATGGCAGGAATGTTATAAGATATAGGAGGAAGGAATTAGTATTTAGTGTATATAGCTATTATAAGCTATCTGCACTACCTGTGAACTGGTATAGTGTTAATTGAGAGTGGGTTTGGATTAGTTGTAAATATATATTGCAAACTCCAGGGCAACCACTAAAAAATTATAAACAGAAGTATAATTGATATGTTAAGAGAGGAGTAAAAATGGAATCATATAAAATGGCACTCATTCTCTACAATCTTTCCCAGAAAATAAAAGCAAAGGGAACATTTTCTCACTCATTTTATGAGAACCAGCCTTAGCTTAATATCAAAATCAGATGATGATATTACAATAAAAAAAAACTATAGACCAGTCTCTCTCATGAGCATAGATGCAAAAATCCTAAATATTAGGAAAATCAAAATAGTTTATTGAAATATTTTTATTTAAAAATCAAAATATTAGGAAATGAAATCCAACAGTGTATCAAAAGAATTTTATATTATGAACAAGTGAGATTTATTCCAGGTATCCAAGGCTGGTTCAACATTTGAAACTCAGTTAATGTAATCTACCATATCAACAGACTAAAGAAAAATAAT